CTAAGTTTCAATGTTAAAATGGCATTTTGACAGACCAAATTATAACATTTGAAAGGTGCTTCTTTCTTGTTAATAACAAAGTTGTAATGACTTGGTTTCTGTGGAGACTGAGACACTGTGTATCCTTATTGTTGATGAAGTAATTGCATCCTGTACATGATCTGTCAGTATTCCATTCCTTTCAAGAACTACTCAGTTTTTGTCCAACAACGTCTTTTAATGAGCTGGGTGACATAAGTGTTAGCACATTATCTCCTGGCAGTTCCTTTGGCCAGTTAGGAGTGATTTCCTACTCTGAGACACTTGATAAATACAGTATGTACCCCTGAATCCACACTTCACATTTCAGACTGTCTCTCGCCAGGACCTTAGTTTATTGTGCCTGACTGAAAAGCCACCTGGGGAGCACAAATGCCACCAAATAGCCACACAGCAAAAGGATTTACACTCTGCAGGACTTGGAGATCAACATGTGAGATAAAAGAGATACTAGAAAGGAGCAAACATGACAACCACCTCTGAACCTGCATTCTTCAACCATTGTACTTCAACTCTGCAACTGATAATAAGATCCACAATCATTGAAACAGCTACTACAACTAAAAGCCCTCATAATAGTACAATATTAGAACAACACATTCATCTATAAGCTTCCCATGTGTTCCTCAGAGTGCATACCTCTCTCTCTCCAAGAAACCCAAACTATCATTTATCATAAGGATGCCAGAGATGACTGTCTGGCCTTTTTGGATTGTGCAGTTCACTTGGGAGGGGACAGAAGCCTGAAGGCATCGGAAACCTACACACACGAAACAATACCTGCTTTTTGACTCACACCATCCACTTCAACACAAACTGGGAGTCATCAGAACTCTAAATCACAGGGCAGAGGAAGTGCCTACAACTGCAGAAGGGGCCAAGAAGGAGGAACTACACATCCAGAACACCCTTAGGGCTTGTGGATACCCCAAGTGGGCCTTCACAAAAGCAAGGAAGAGGCCCAAAACCAACAGGGAGAAACCAGAAACAAGAGAGGATAACACTGTCATCCCTTATGTGGCTGGTTTATCAGAGAAGTTAAAAAGGATCTTTCGCAATCACAATATCCCAATTATACCCTGCGGCAGAGACTGGTCCACCTGAAGGACAAAACACCCAGACATAAACAGAGTCATGTGGTGTATACAATTAAGTGTAGTCAGGAGTGTAACGACTTGTACATTGGTGAAACTAAGCAGCCGCTTCACAAACGCTTGGCCCAACACAGGAGGGCCAACTCCAGTGGACCAGAGTCAGCAGTCCACCTTCACCTGAAGGACAAAGGACATTCTTTCGAGGACGACAGTCTCTGACGTGCTCGCAGCATTCTCAAAGACTCCTCTCACCTCTTGCCTTCTTGACTTCAGGAGCCTCCAGACCAAAACCACTAGAATCAGGAACAGCTTCTTCCCCACAGCTGTCTCCTTACTGAACTCTGTCCCCCATTGACCCCCACTGCCTTCTTTTATACCACTACACACACCTCACCCCTTCTCATCTCTCCTCCCAGGACTAATGCAATACACTTCTGTTACCTCTAACACTGAAGTGATCTGTTAATTTACACATACTCTACTCACAAAATACTGCTCTGTTATTCATTTGCACACTGTGCTGTACACACACATATACTGTATATTTATCTTTGCACTATTTACACCTATTGAACTGTTAACTCATGTAACTTATCTTCTTCTTCTGCACAATTTCATTCATTTCATCCCATTGCACTAGTGTTTTATAAGCTTAATGTGCTTTATCCATTACTTGTAATTTAAATCAATAAAGTCTGTTGTATATTGGACATTACCCTACATATCTAACTGTAAATGTCAGTTGTACATATCTATCACAAAATTAGTTCTGATTTACAGACTGTAGATACTGCACACTCTGCACTGCTGTTATTGCACTTCTGGTTAAATGCTAAACTGTATTTCATTCCCTTGTACTTGTACATGGGTAATGACAATAAAGCTGAATTTAATCTAATCTAAACAAATGCAGAACCCTTGACATGCATTTCTCAACACATTTTGGTAGAAGAATCAGAATCTGCTTAATCAGAATCAGAATTCCAGAATTATTTTGGTAGATTACCTCTTAGGACAAAAACACATAAGCTAAACCACACTCTGGATTCACAGACATTATGGTGAGTACAAATTACTTGCTGGTCTATCTATGAGATTTGTGGAAAATAACAAAAAAAAAAACAAAAGTCACCAGCCTTATCCCTAAACAACATAATTTTCCTATCCCTGTAAGTATCGGAGAGTACCTATGCCACACGCCTGTAACACCTACATTGTTTTTCATTGCTGTTGCTGCCCACAGTGCACAAGTGACCCCCACTAATTTTAAATGCTTTTTGTTTTGAAACCATGCTTTTGCGTTTCCCCTAACCTGAACCTAACTTTATCCTAACCATAACCACTGAGGAGGGGATTTACCAGAAACACAGTATTAACAGGAACAAAATCTCAAAAGGGGAACACAAGATCAACATATGTTATTGTTGTCATCAATACTAGTTAGCTAACTAGTATCACTGGTAGAAGTCAACCCTTTACCTAGCCCAAGGTGGGCATGGGCCTGGTTTTATTGTCACTGTGAAACTACCCACTTAGTTGTTCCAGAAATTCACAGGATGCCTTGCTGTCTTTTTATTTGAATTAGTTAACATTTGCTAACAGCACAGCTATATTCACAGTCCTGTATTGGGTTGAGTACACACAGGACTTGATTGGGTAACCCACAAAAATTATGCGTAATGGGTAAAAAATATGTTTACATTAATTAAGGGGTAGATTAAATAGACTAAATGCAGGCAAGTGATGGTTGCAATAAACATAAAATGAATAACGGTGCAGCTTCTTTTAAACATCTAACCCAACATAATTTTATCAACCCTAAATAATCAATACATTTTATGTAAAGGCCTATGGCACAAACTTTTGCCCCTCAACTCATATCCGGCTAACAGGATCAACGTAGGCTAGGCTTCAGTGGATCAAAATGGGTAACTAGCGGTGAGTACAAAATTGTGGACACTGCATCATCGATGACCAAGTCAGGTGCATGAGAGAAATTCAGTGTGATCACAGACTGTCAAGGTTATCAGTGACTTTGCTCTCACATACTTTAAACTGTTTTTCAAACATTGCGTTAATGCAGCTTAGTGAGGAAAAGGGAGTGCTTAGTTTGATGCAAGGCATCTCCATGCTAATGCAAACACGGCAGAATCATTGTCACATGAGACTGAGATTGCACAGGAATCTAAATCAGGCTCACAAAAGGATTTATTGTTCAGCCCTAACTGGAATTTGATTTCCTCACATGGGTTCATGTTGATGATGCAGAATCACCAAAACTGTCCTGTGACAATTATGTCAGTTCATATGATTTCATGTTCATTCCTCTTGATCCACCCATGCATCATCAACTCTGTATATGAAATTAAGACACTCTTTTTACAGCAAGAAGATATGTTTTTCTATGTCCTGTCTTCATTTGCTGCGGCACTGTTATATTGACTAGCATCAAGCGGTTGGAAGTGAGAAAGGTCACATTTGTCAGTATTTTCGACAGCTCATTTGTTTTTCTTTTTTGTTTGTTTGCTTTGGACATTTTTGTTATTTCTATCATTTATCTTTCTCTCCTTGGTCTGTAGCTGCAGCTCATTTTTCCCTGCCCCCTTCTTCTTTAGTTCCCAACTATAAGGTCACATCATCATCTGTGGCTGATACTCATTACAATGCTATTAGAGGAACGATTTCCTTCTTATTAAAAATCCTTCATTAGCTCTCTATCTCTGGTTGGCATGGAATTCGGCCCTTAGTTGAGTCCATTATTACCTACTCAATGAGCAGACAGCTAATCAGCACAGTCAGTCCTTTTATCACTGTTAGAACTGTTAATGCAATGGCAGCTTTCGTAGTACTTTCCTTCCTCTTTTCGTTTTTTTGTTTTCCTATTTTGCCTTTGGTATATACAGTATCTTTTAGCCTTTGTCATGTCACAGAATGCTCTAAGTATATAAGAAATAACCATGAATAATGATTGAAAGTTTTTTCTGCATATTTGGAAAAACTGATTTCCCTAGGTAAACCCCGCAGTGGCTGTTGGACTATTATCCAGATTACTGTATGAATTTAACATCCTGCTGTCTTTAAATCTTTTTTGACCTGTGGGACTGTAGCTGGGTAAATGTCATGGTCTGTTGAATGCTATTTTGCTTTGAAATGTTATCATATTTCAATATCTATTTCTCAGTCAGACTTGAAAAAATTAGCATGCATACACATTCTTTGTAATTATATACCGAGTCACCTATAATGTACTGTACAGCCTCTCTCCTCATGATTATTTATGGCTGTAACAAATACTAACAATTCAGATGACTAATTCTGAAACTAAAATCAAGTACCAGGACCATGTGGGGGGAGGGTGTGTGCGCATGCAGAGCAGTTGTCAGTGACTGGGTAAATGGCTGCATCTTCACACCTCAAGCATTAGCGTTACCAGCTGAGGCTATGCTTGGTGGGAAATATGGGGTATAGCGCTCCTTAGGTTCTGATACTGGAAACACAGCATATGACTGTGGGCAGATGAGCAACAATACAAAGTGCAGTCTGCCTGGGACATCTGTCTATATTGGACGATTTCTGCCCAATACCAAAACTTTGTGCCAGGGCAGAAGGCTGTGTGTCCTCTCTGTGGTAGAAATTAAGGTTGTTGGGTTCAGAGTAGAGGATGAGCATGCACCCCAGGATTTCCATCAAAGGTCTGCAATAAGCATTAACTGTAACCAGGATCATTGGCAATGAATAATAAAAAAAAATACAAATATAAAACAAAAATGTGGACATAATCCAGAGTTTTAGGAATCATCCAGTGTCATCCACCTTGTCTGGTGATACAGTTGCAATTCAGTGACATAAATTTACAATGGTACTCACCAGTGATGTGGTAGCTGACTTGTCGATTAATGGCAGAGCTGTCATCATCTCTGGTGTTCAGCACAGCCACTACCTCGCCTGGTGGGTCACTCTCCTGAACTGAACCAAAGTAGTGCTGCTCCAGGAACTTGGGTGGGTTGTCATTGATGTCTGACACTGCCACTGTCACAGTGGTGGTACTGGAAAGAGACAACGTCTCCCCAAGGTCTGAGGCCAATACTGTGAATGTGTAAGATGGATTGGACTCATGGTCCAGGTCCTTGCGTGTGGAAATCCACCCTGTGTTGCTGTCAATGCTAAAAGTCCCAGCCAATGTGCCTGAGTCCCCCTCTGACTGGATCAGTGCCCCAAGTCTGTATGTTACCTGGCCATTGGCCCCTGAGTCTGGGTCTAGTGCTTGAATTTGAATGATTCTGGTTCCAACTGACATTCCCTCCATTACTGTGGCCTCATAGGAGTTGGCCTCAAAGGCTGGTTTGTTGTCATTTAGATCCAGCACTTTGACTTCAACATCAACAGAAATCACAGAATCCAGTTTAGCCTGTTGTACAGTGGCGGTGACTTTGAAGTGATATCCTCTGATCACCTCATGGTCCAAGGCCTTATCAAGCTTGATCACACCTGTATCCTTGTCAACCACAAACACTGCATCTTGGTTGTTTTCTTCATGCTCTCCATTAACCAGGGCAAAAGTAGCTCGGAGTGAGGTAGATCCATGGGGAGTGTTGAGGCCAACTGTCCCTATGGCTGAACCTATTGGGGTATCCTCTGGCAGGTTAAGTAAGTATTGATGTTGGCTGAAAGAAGGAATGAATGCATCTGAAGAAAGAACGTGAATGTAGACAGACACGAGAGAGTGCCGAACTGGATTTCCTCCATCCACGGCCTTTACAAAAAAAGATAATACTGAGCTTCTCAAGTGGCTGAAGCTGCCTTTAGTCACCATCCAACCATTGTCTGGATCTATCTCCAGAATGTCCACCACAGGTACATGTGCCTCACTGTAAAGTGAATATGTCACTTTGGCGTTAGTGCCATCATCAGGATCATATGCCTGGATCTGTGTCACCAAAAAACCTTTAGCCACATCAGATTTGACTGAAGCTCGGTACTCTGTGGCACAGAATCGAGGAGCATTATCATTATCATCCAACAGAGTAACCTGTACTGTACAGTAGGAGACACGTCCACCTGAGTCTTGGGCTGCCACTGTCAATATAATGTCCTTACTGGCTGGGTCTTCACGGTCAAGCTTTTCTATAGAAGTGATCTGACCGCTTGCATCAATGTTAAACTGGTCCTTGCCTATATCATTAACAAAGGAATAAGTGATGTGACCGAACACTCCAGGATCTGCATCTGTTGCCTTCACCTGGAATTTAAAAAATGTCTTAGTAATTACAGACATGACTGTTATGATAACAGCAGCTAATATATTAACGAGGGGAAAAAATCTTCACTGAATTTCATTGACACTTACCTGTATAACTTTGGTTCCCACAGCAACATTCTCTCTTATCTCAGCTTCATACATATTCTGCCCAAACACTGGACTGTACAGATTGGCCCCCAACACCTTAACATGAACCTGTGCAGTGCCGGTGAACACCCCATCAGACACTGAGACATTGAGACTGAAAGCAGGTTCCATTCTTTGCTTACGGTGGCTGGACAGAGTAATGATTCCTGTCTTTTTGTCCATCACAAAGTTCATTCTTTCATTTCCTGACAAAATGCTGTACTCCAGCTTGTCAAAATCTGAGTTGTCAGCATCTGAGGCCTGAACACAGGTTACAAAGTGACCCCTGGGTGCTAACTCATTCACATATGCTTCATAGAGTAGCTGGTTGAAAACTGGAGGGTTGTCGTTCATGTCATTCACAACAACTATTACTGATACTTCAGTACTCAGTGGTGGGAAGCCATTATCAGTGGCTTTGACAATGAAGTCATACTTTTGTACTAGTTCATGGTCTAGCATACGTGCCGTCAAGATTAATCCACTGCTACTATCAATGTGAAAGTAATCTGTGCTGTTATGCACATCTGAGAAGATTTGGTAGCGGACACCATTATTCTTGTCTGAGTCTTTGTCTGTGGCAATAACTTGAAGTGCCGGAGTACCAATCATGGCAGTTTCAGACAAAACTACCCTGTAGGACATTTTCTGGAAGATAGGTGGGTTATCATTTACATCCTGGACAACCACATCAACATCAACCTCAGCACGAGCACCAGTCAGATAGTCTGTGGCTCTGATTGTAAGGTGGTAAGATGCTGCTTCTTCATAGTCCAGAGAGTGGATGACACTTATGACTCCAGTATCAAAACCAATGTCAAACTGAAGAAATGGGTCCCCATCAACAATGGTGTAAATGATATTTTGACCTTCAGGACTAGTGGCATTGATGCCAAGAATGGGTGTGTGTACAGCCACATCCTCATTCACAGAAACAGAATAAAATGATTTGTCAAAGACAGGCATGGCTTTGTTAACAACAGTTATGGGAAACTCTATATGAGAAGAGAGAGGTGGATAACCGCCATCTCTGGCATATATCACCATCTGGTATTCCATACTGGACAAGTCAGACTCAAAAGCCCTCTTGAGGCTTAGACCACCTGTTTGCTGGTTGATCTCAAAGTGACCATGATCATCTTTGAGATAATAAGACACCTGTCCATTAATCCCTTTGTCACCATCGATGGCCATAACCCTGAAAATGGGTGATCCTGGCTCAGCCTCTACTTGAACAGCTGCATAATAAGGAAGTCCAACAAACACAGGGGCATTATCATTTATGTCCTCAATTTGGAGTCTAACCATAACTCTGGCCACATGCAAAAGGTCATGTTCCCTTCTTGCCTCAACAATCAGTTCATAGAACTCTTGCTCTTCACGGTCAAAGGGTATACCTGTGGTTTGGATCACACCAGAAGTTGGGCGGATTGTGAAGCATGCCCCAGCATTCAGCAATGTGTATTTCAGTGGTTCATTGAGACGGTTTCCCACAGCATTGACCACAGCCACTTTGCTGATATTTGATACATTCTCTTGAATAGAGGAAGTGTAAAGGTTATGGGTGAAGCTGAGGCCGGAGTCTAGAGTTTCTCGGATGAGAATGGTCACCAGTGCTGTGCTGGAGAATTTCCCATCTGAAACTTTGACACTGAAGCGGAAACGTTCTTTGGAGAAGTTGATGTTTTTGACTATAATGATTCCACTAGAAGGTTTGATGGCAAAATGTTCCAGTACTCCATCAGCCAGAGAGTAAGTGAGTTCTGTATGGACATCTTTGTCAGGGTCTGTGGCTGAAACTTGCAAAGCTTCTACTCCCACATAGGTAGGGAGTAGCAGGACTGTTTCATAAGCATTCTGGGTGAAGTGAGGTGGTGAGTCATTTGTATCAATCACTTGTATTGTGACCTCAGCTGGACTGTCTGCTGTCAACTGTGGTATGCCACTGTCCCTCACATGAACATGGAAGTGAAAGGTGGCAAATGTCTCATGGTCTAGATTAGCAATGGTTCTGATGGAGCCAGTTCCTGAGTCCACTGTGAAGAATATTTTTGCTGTGTCCTCAACAATCTGGTAGACCAACAGAGCATTTTGGTTATGGTCAGCATCAATGGCCCTGATTACGAGTGGTGAATCATCTGAGTTCAAGACCACACTGTTGACTGGTGCTGCCTCACTGATGCTACCATGATAGTGAAGCTGCTGGAACACTGGTGGGTTGTCATTCTCATCCACTACCTGGATTAACAAAGTAGCATTGGATGCCATGCCAGCCATGTTGGTAGCCTGGACTATCAGGCTGTAAGATGCTGTACTTTCAAAGTCTAGAGGCTTTTGAGTAGTAATCACTCCACTGTACTGATTTATTTGAAACACATGATTGGTGTTGCCCTGCTTGATGTCATAAGTAAGGGTAGACTGGCTGACTGCACTGACTGTGGTGACAGAGGTTCCAACCACCACATTCTCTGTAATCTCTGCTTGGTATTCAGGCTGTGGGAACTTTGGGCCAGCATTATTAGAGAGGGTGACAACAATACGAACTATAGTGGTGGTGGACAGAGGAGGGGAGCCATTGTCAGTGACTCTGACAGTGAGAACATAATGTCCGATGCTGGACAAGTCCAGGTCTCGTGCAACAGTGATGATGCCCAAAACTGGCTCAATATGGAACGTATTTCTAGTATTCCCTGTTGAAAAATTAAAAACAAAGATTAATAATGCTATTGGCCAAGAACTCATTTAAATTCAATTATTTAAAGGGTACATACAACATGCAAAATTAAGCATTTAATTGTCAGAGGTGCCTGCCTGCTTCAATAGAATAGTGTAGCTCTGCGTTCTCTCCTTTGTCTTTGTCCAAGGCAGTGACCTGGATCACAGCTGAGCCCACTGCTGCTGACTCATAGACTAAGCCTTCATAGAGAGCACTGGTAAAAATGGGTACATGGTCATTTATATCTTCCACCTCTATTAGCACACGAGCTAGGTTCTTTCTGTATGGGAACTCTTGGTCTTTCACCTGTGGAGAAAACAGAAAAAACAGCAATCATAAAAAGGTATTCCTCATGGTCTACTCTCTGAGGGCTCTTATTCTCTTATACTCAAGGTCAGTATCTACTAAGAGTATAACAACCACAGATGTCTGACCTGTGTCCTTTGTTATTGAACTTTCTTGAATTTATGACCTTTTATATTTGAAACAAAACAATTCCTTGATATGGAAAGATAAATCAATTACTATGCATAGTATATTCTATATAGGTATAATATAAAACAGTTATAGTATACAAGTATAATATTACTTAGTATAGCATTTATCAAGCAGTTGAAGTATAGGATGTGCCATTTATTGCACAAATATCTTTAGTTCAGTATTAGCTTTATACACAGCAATTACACACACACACACACACACACACAGATACATACAGTACATACTGTATATACAGTATATGTCAATATATAGTCATAGCCAAAAATATTGGCACCCCTGCAGAAAATTGTGGCAATCACAAATTCTTTGGTATTCTTGTGTTTATTTGTTTTGTTTGCATTGGAACAACACAAAAAAGTAGAGAAAAAAGCCAAAACTGATCCATTCCACACAGAACTCCAAAACACATAATGCCAGTGTTCAGTGAAACTCCACCATGTTTGACTGTAGGGACGTGTTCTTTTCTTTGAAGGCCTTATTTCTTTTTTTGAAAACAGTAGAATGTTGTGCTCGACCAAAAAGCTCTATTTTAGTCTCATCTGTCTACAGGACATTCTCCCAGAAGGACTGTGGCTTCCTCAGGTAAGTTTTGTCAGGTTTTGTCTGTGTCAGCAGTGGGTCCCCCGGGGTCTCCTACCATAGCGTCCCTTGTTCAGATAGTGACAGATAGTGCGAGCTGACACTGTTGCACCCTGTGCTTGCAGGTCAGCTTGAATTTGTTTGGAAGTTGATCAAGGTTGTTTATCCACTATTTGAACAATCTTTCGTTGCAATCTGTCATCTATTTTTTAAATTTCTGTCCACACAGGAAAAGAAAGATCTCCAGAGATCTTACTCTATCATCAGTGTGGTCCACACGACACAAAGGTTAAGTCAACGTTTCTCCATTTTAACTGGTTGCAAGTGTGATTTCTATATCACCAGCACCTGTTGGTTGCTACAGGTGAGTTTCATTACAAATTAAATGAGCATCACCTGCTTGAAATACAACTATTTCTGATGGTTTTGAAAAGGTGTCAATAATTCTGTCCAGTCCATGTTTGGAGTTCTGTGTGGAATGGATCAGATTTGGCTTTTTCTCTGCTTTTTTGTGTTGTTCCAATGCAAACAAAAGATATAAACAAGAGAACACCAAAGAATTTGTAATTGCAGTTTTTCTGGGAGACGTTATCTGACAGAAATGCAGGGGTGCCAATAGTTTTGGCTATGAAAACTGAGGGGAAGTGGATTCTACATACATAAAGGATGTGTGCTCTACCCGCTGGTTTTCTCTCTATACACCAACAACTGCACCCCAGGGGACCCCTCTATTAGACTCATGAAGTTCGCAGATGACACAACAGTGATCGGTCTCATCTGTGACAGGGACGAGTTGGCATACAGACAGAAAATTGAACAGCTGGCCCTGTGGTGCAGTCACAACAACCTGGAGCTGAACATGCTCAAAACAGTGGAGATGACAGTGGATTTCAGGAGGAGCAGCACTTTATCAGCAGTAGAGTCCTTCAAGTTCCAGGGCTCCACAATCTCCCAGAACCTGAAGTGGATGTCCGACATCAGCACCATCATGAAAAAAGGCACAGCAAAGAATGTACTTCCTGCACCAGCTCAGGAAGTTTGACCTGCCTCAGGAGCTGCTGATATAGTTCTGCAGAAGAATCATGAAGTCTGTTATCTACTCAGCTATCACTCTCTGGTTTACTTCATTAACCAAACAGGACAGGAACAGAGTCCACATGGCAGAAAAGATCACTGGTGCCAGCCTGACCTCAATCGAGAACCTGTACAGCTCACAGGTCAAAAGGAGGACAGAGAAGATTCCTGCAGACCCCTCACATCCTGGACACTGACAGTTTGAACTCCTCCCCTCTGGACAGCTCTACAAGTTATTGTATGCCACACCAACCAGACACAAGGACAGTTTCTTCCCTCATGCCATCACACTGATGAACAGGTAACTATAACTTAAGCAACAGGACTCAGCAACTACTGCAGTGCAATAATTGTAAATAGTACCACTACATGCAACAGTCTGATAGCTCAAAATGTATATATTATTCATGAACATTGCCTCTCCTCCTCCTCCCTCCCCCCATCCCCGAACTGCCTAAAACACAATGAGAGCCTCTATGCCTTAGACAAATTCCATGTATGCTCAACATACTTGATGATTAAAACTGATTCTGATCCCGAGTATGTGTAATTACAATAAAAAAAAAAAACACAGAAACTGCACTGTACTGCCTAATTAGCATACACATGGCCTCAACTGCACCTCTCCTCCCATCTCAGCATAAGTGCATTCATTCATGGCAGGAGAATACCAAACACACCAATGTGCAAAAAAAGTGGCCATGCACCTGAGGAAAACTGCATAACGAGTGTGACTGAGCCAACGCAGAAAATGTGCTGGCAGGAAAATAGAGCTCTGAATCTCTAAACAATGCAGGCAAGACTGGGCCCTCTCAGTGGAATACTGAGGTGCTCAAAGAGTGGCAGCATAACATATTACATGTACAGTAAGTGTCTAGCAGAGACAGTGATACGTGGAGCTTCAGGCCATAATAAGTCATCCTAGACCAAAATGTGTCTTACTAAGACAGTGAGGATGTGCTGGGCACAGGCCTCATGGTCCAGCCTTTGAGTAGTGTAGATGGTGCCCAAGTCAGGGTGAATGCGGAACAGTCGCATGCTGCTGGGGTCTATGGAACTCTGCACAGAATAGGTCAGCCGGTAATGCTCATCATGGTCTGATGCCAGAACCTGGACCACCTCAGTATCAGCAGGCGTATCTTCAGAAATCGTGACATCATAGGTTGGTTGGGAAAAGATGGGAGCATTGTCGTTGTTGTCCATAACAGTGATGTGAACCTAGAACATGATGGGCATTGACAAAGAGAAAGGGAGCAGAAGGGTGAGCGTTGTCAGTCTCTGAGCTTTATTATGAAGCAGAGTTGTTTGTCAAGGAGATACTGTATATGAACATTTGCAGATATTTTCAATATGAGCATGCTATGTTATGAGTGAATGTTTTGCAGATATGCTGAACAACAGTGTTTCATACTCAAGTTAATACCGTAATCTAATTTGAGCAGAATTACATTTATTACTAAACATACAGTATTTGCAATATCGATTATTTGTGCATGTATTTTGTAGGGCACTGAGTTGTGAATTCATTTCTCAGTTTTTCTGTCATCATATTGTAACTAAGGCTTTTACAGAAATATACTTTGGGCGGACAGGTTGAGGTGGCTTCTTATCTTTAAATCTCTTCCCATAAACAATGGCTGCTGGCAGATGGGGTAAAGAGGATCAGATGTTTCTGTAAACAGCAGCGGAATGAAGCACTCGCCTTTGTTTGGTTCAAACTACTATTATAGCAGCCTGGTTTGACCAGTTCCTTGCTGTATCAGCCCAATGATGACTGAGATTTTTCACCTCCAGAGGGACAAAAAGGGTAGTTGTACACAACTAAGTTGCCCTCTTTGAAAAGTTTGTGATAGTTAAATTTCAGATCAAAGTTATTTTTTTTAAGTTGAGTTACTACAATTAGCATTTTCACTCATAGAAGCAAAGTAAATTTGTATTGTGCATTCATGTAGAGTTCAACTTTATCACTCATATCACTATACTGTGCTATCTTTAGCATCATTGGCATTATGTAACAGACTGTATGTTGAACCAAAATGAATTGAATGTGTGTCATTGTGCAGACTGCAGAGAAGTCATGCAGAGTGTTAGTGGTTGGTGTGTGTCATGACTCATGGAAAATTCCTGATTCACAGATGACTGGTGATGAAGCCCAGCATGAGTCAGGAAAACACAGGAGGTGATGCAGAGACAGACAGGTTGGGAGCAGACAGAAAACACAGAAAAGGCAAGAACTTGAAAATGGAATATCTTCAGTGTTATCAGCCCCACTGGGGAGACTACACTGTAGCAGTATGATGCAACAAAGAGACAATAGATAAGAAGAAAGTGAATGATGTGCATATGAATGCACAAATTTAGCCACTGAGTAGTGAAATATATTAAACATTTAGTAAGGTGTTACAAGCTCCCTATACTGTATATCAGCAGGGTGTGAAAGAGCTGCACATCCGTAACACAGTCTCAAATATGACTGAGCAATGTGCTGAGATGACTGACTCTTGAAAGTCACCTTGTGGTATCTATGCTGCTTAAAAAGAATTCCCCAGATTTATTTTTCAAGTGTCACAAAACCTTTTCCTCACAAATGTCTCAGAAATCTCTGTACACATACTTATTGTAAAATGTGTTTTATTAGTGTCGCTGTCTGGCCACTTTAGATTTTCAGGGCAAGGGTGGCTGAACACAAACCCTGGTTTAAGTAAAGGGCTAAGGCTGAAAGCCAGGGACAGCAGGACACAGTCTGCTGCTGCAGTGAGGAGCTAAGCAGGGAGAAAAGGGGGTCAGGATCTGGTGGAGTCTGGCTAGTGACTAGCATGAGGAAGAGGAGATTAAGTCTGGGCAGAGTGATGGGCAGGCTTTTGAAAGGAAGCAAGGTAGAGGAGGATGAAACATGAAAGACAAACCCAACAGGCAGTGTCTTCAGTTGAGTTTATACTGGATGCAAGGAGTTGTAGGCAGCCACACTGAATTATGCCTATGATGTTGGCTTTTATACAGTATATGTATTAAAAATTTCAAGGCCGTCCCTGGTAGGCTAGTGGTTAAGGCGCAGTGCTCTTGCTGCTGCAGCCTGGATTCGAATCAGGGTTGCGTCAGGAAGGGCATCTGGCGTAAAACACATGCCAAATGTCAACATGCGAGTCGTCAGTGTGACGATTCACTGTGGCGACCCCTAAACGGGAAAAGCCAAAGGTGACTTTCTATGTGTTAAAAATTTCAAATGTAAATTTTATGTGTAATTAAAAAGGTATACATTCTTGGTGTATTATAGGCACTTGCATGTGATATAGCTATGCTGGAAGAGATGCCCCTGGCAAAGTTTAATATTGCAGTTTTGTGCTGTTCTGTGAGCAGTGGTGTTCTTCTTGGACACCAGCTGTAGAGGCCGAGGTCATGCACTGCCCTTTACGCTGTCTGAGCTGCTATTGAAACAACTTCCACAAATAATCCTTGTACCACATTAGACGCACATATGCATCTGTTTTTCAGTGCAAGGTTGTGTAAATAATTAACTATGTATGGCAACATTTTTCAAGGATTTCCATTGTGCCTTCTGTTATCAGCAGTATGGCGCTTCCTAATCACTGCTGCAACTGTGTTTCAGCTTGTATTCAGTAGCTACTGATGCTGTTCTACCTTCTTCCATCCTTATGAAGTCTCACTACCTGGTTTCGTACTTGATCAAACAACTTCTTGAATTTAGCAATTAAATTCAGTAATATAAATAAATTAGTAATATCTAAAATAAAACTAAATAAGTAATTTAGTCACTGGCTACCCGATAACCTAATTGTTAGATACCGAATTATATAGTATACGATTCAGAAGATTACACTCAAGACCTATGGTGGATTAACTATGGCAATAGCAGAATATTATTCCATCTTCTGTAGGAATGTCCTGCTATTAGCACATTTTCTTCTGTTAAAAGACTATAGACCTTGGGCTGTTTATCAGATGAAATAACTATTCTTCTATGCTGGAAAGAACGGAAGCCAGAAGAATACATATACATGTTTAATAGGGAGCTGCCTTCCTTAAAGACTTTCACAGGGCCAATATATTATAATTAAGAATGGGGCAGGTGAATTTGTCACTCAGTGAATTATGGGACTAGAGACTACTGTCTAATGGTTAAGTCACTGTTGGAACTATATCACAAATTGTCACTGTCAAAATCTTCGGGAAACTTATACTGAAACCTACTTTAAATGGTCTATAACGCTTGCACTCTATTCTGTGAATGTAAAGAAAATGATTACTGGGGTATTTTTCAAATTTCTTTAGCATTAGAAACCTGTAGGATAAACACACAAAGCCTAAGATGATTACAGTGCTTTCAGTCTCTTTGTGGTTGCCACCATGCAACTATGGTATAGCTCCAGCTGCTGCATGTGTATGTATCGTAGCTCTGCTGCAGATACTAACTTTGGGGTTTGCTTATCATCTGCCTAATGGATGAATCATGTTTCTTAGCTGACCTCTTTCTAGTGATGATACCATGTTTCAAGGTCTCAGCAATAAGCCCTGGTGAGTACAATATTATCACCACTGATGGAATGATAAGTAATCTATAAAAATGAGTCCCAGATTATAATAAATTAGTTATCCCTTAAGATCCTTTGAGTATTAATGTTTAATAATTAATGTATCTTTATATATTTGACTCAATTACTACAAGTGGTTATAGTGCTTTTGTGTTTTTTTTTTTATGGGTTCCCATAACAGCCTTCCAAATGACTTTTTGGATTGCATTTTGAATTGTAGGCTACAACTGATGAGGTGATGGGCTGCATGAATCAAAAACTCACTGGACAACCATATTCCTGGCTACATGGACAGCTCTGAGGTCAGTGTCTTGATAAATTGGTAGAACTATCCCTAGTGCTTCAAATAAAGGGCTTGTCAAATGTAACAGCATCTGAAACCCACTTCTTCTGTCACTTTTCATACAGTGAGGAACAGAAGTATTTGAACACCCTGCGATTTCGCAAGTTCTCCCACTTAGAAATCATGGAGGGATCTGAAATTCACATTGTAGGTGCATTCCCAGTCTGAGAGACAGAATTCAAAAAAAAATTTCAGGAAATCACATTGTATGATTTTTAAAGAATTTATTTGTCTTGCACTGCTGAACATAAGTATTTGAACACCTGAGAAACAGCAAGAATTCTGGCTCTCAAAGACCTGTT